CACCGGAAACGAGTCCGACTTACTGCCGGCAATGCGGACCAAGCTCTGGCACCGGTCATACAGGGACCTAACAGCCCATTTCAATGGGCCTTGTATCCCATACTCCTGGAGTACCCCCCACAGCAGACCCAGAGGGACACGGTTGAACGCCTTCTCCAAGTCCACAAAACACATGTAGACTGGTTGGGCGAAATCCCATGCACCCTCCAGGACCCTGCTGAGGGTGTACAGCTGGTCCGCTGTTCCACGACCAGGACGAAAACCACACTGCTCTTCCTGAATCTGAGATCCGACTATCCGACGGACCCTCCTCTCCAGAACCCCCAGAATGTTTCTGTTGTAGCATATTTAACATTTAAGCTAGAGAAAGCGTTTGTTAGCTTCATGTGCCATTCAGCATCTTCATCTGTTGCTTCCTTTTTTTTCTTAGTTTTACTTTGATCCATGATGCACTGAATAAAGTTCAGCAACTACAMATWTTCACTTTRGTCACTGGGAAGAGTCAACTCTCTGTCTAGCTAGCAGGGCGAGGGCAGAAAAGGAGTAGACAGCAATGGCAACGTTTTAAGAACAYCTCTCACATGAGCAGTTAGCACTCAGAGTTTAGGTTGGAGATAGATTTTAGCTATTGCCACAARAAATTTTAGCTCAATATCTATAAAAATGACCGAGTTACAGCCATCTGAGTTTGCTATGATGGCTTTACTGTGGCGGCCATCTTGYATCAAGATGACCTCAAAACCTGATCAGTTGTAGATGTCAACACAATCATTACTTTAATGTTTCATTAAACTCTATTTTTTTGATTCATGAGCTACGGTACAAAAACAATGAACGCTTGCACACAAACACAGACTCYGGCAAAAACATTATTGATCTGCCATTACCTTCAGCGACGAGTGATAAATGTATGATATACTTGTACATGTGCGTGTACAGCACTCACTTTAAAAAAATCCCACAATGCAATGTTGTACTTTCTCCATTTTAAAGGAAAGCTGGCCGTTGTGATATATGATGGAAACTCTCAGCAGAGAAATGTACAGCAATTATATCRTGCTGTTCCAAATTTTTAAATCTGTGGTAAATCTGTGCTTTAGGACATGTTTTTTAAAATTATTTTTATTTTTCACTCAAGCTGCTTCATATTTAAACTTTTA